ACACCTGCTATCCAAAGATTTTAGTCTTTTTCAGGGTTTTTGTGTGTCTCTGTTGCTTTATATAATGCAATATTTTGTAGTGAAAATAGATATAATCTGGTTTCTATCTGACGAGTTTTTCATATCTCATGAATGGTGCGCTGTTTTGCATACAAATAAAGGTATCAAGTAAAGCCCTCGCCTTTATTTTTAAGCATACTGTCAAAAAAAAAAAAATGAGCATGCTGGCTGAGCATGAACTAGCTTAACAGACTCAATTCCTCAGGAAGGAACTATGAAAGAAAACACAACAAAGCCTTAACATATTTACCACGGGGATATTTGATGCTTTTCCTAAACTTGAGCACTCATCAGTCTCTAGCTAGGATGGTGGCACAGATCAAGTTTCCCTCCATGAGGAAAGATTATAGGGTTCACGTGAAAATATTACTTGAATCAGAGATTCTTTTGCTCTGAAAGGAAACTCAGTAACTAACCCAACCTCTTCAAATTAGAGCCGGGAACCTGAGGCCCAGGGAGTTCCGGTCCCTGCGCCGTCACATGGCTGTGTGAGAAGAAGGCCCTGATATGACGACTCCCAGCCTCATGGCACTTATTAAGAACAAGGTGTCAAACATCTAACCAGGACATGACACCTGCAAACAAGAGAAAAAATTTTAGCCCTGGGCCAACCTTGAGATATGAAGAATGTCATCTATAAAAGCTAATAGTCTAACAATGTGAAATATTCTGTCTACCAGCAGGAGACATGAATAACTTAAAAACTACATGCACATATATAGAGAGTTCTATGAAATATGGACTATATCACACGCAATCTCTGGTTGTGGAGTGAAAATGCAATTAGGTGGATGCTTGGTTTTGTGCCTATAACATGTGGGAATGTGACTGTGAGCGTTTTTCACGTTCACCCAGGTATCTTGTAGTTCGGTTCACAGAAACCTAGTAAGTGAGGCTTCACACTCCTCATGCGCAGGTGCTCAGTAGGGATGCACCAGGGACATGAAACAGGATGGTGCCTTCTTTGGCCTTGTGTCTGGACAGAGCCCTGGTCACGGCTGCTGCGGCTGGTGACGTCAGCCTGCAGACACCTGCTACCTGGAGGCTGAGGGCTTGCAGGTCTTGCCCCTCTAGGCCTGGGAGAGATGCTACTCCCAGTCTCCATAGAACTTCTCTATTCCAGGACAGGAAATGCTGTCTTGCTCCAATGCCAAGGAAATGAGGGCCTCCTTTTCCTGGTAATGAGCCCAACTTCCAACGGACTGACACAGTTCTGCCACTGACTGTAGGAGGCACCTATTCACTCACCTCCCTAGACGAAGACCCCTGCCCTTGGAATTGAAAATAGGGCACAGACATAGACAAAGATCAAAACCCCTCCCATCCACACAGCCTGTGTGATCCCAGGATTTCAAACCCAAGGCTGTTGAGCACCTCCAAAGAGAGAGGCGGCACTGTGACACTCTGGTAGACCAGAGGGTGACTGACTGATCCCCACACGTAGCAAGGGCTCCGTGGCTACTCAGCCATAGTAAAGGAGTAATGATGCTTCTTTGAACAATGATGATGGTGATCTTTCAGTCTTCCATTCAGCAAATATTTATTGAGGACCTACTGTGTGCTGGGCATTGTTTGAGATGCTAAAAATAGAGCCCCAGATGAGATAAAGCCTACTGACAACAAAGAGATAAACTTAATTTCAGGTTTTACTAAATGCTGTGAAGATGACAGCTGGGGTGCTGGTAGGGGTTCATTTTAGATAGATCTGCCTACCCAGCAGCCCACAGTCGCTGCCACCTGTTAACCTGTGCTGTGCTCATGCCACCAAAACACCCTGTGCCAATCACTCTCCATCCCCCACTGGCAACACCCTGGTCCCTCCCCCCAGCTTGCTCTCTCCCTAGGCAGAACCGGGGCCTCAGTTCCTTCTGCTGCTGCTCTCACCTTCTCCTCTCTGCCCCAGCTGCTCAGCTGGCCAGGGCATTACTGCTCCCCAGAAAACTCTAGCCCCACCCGGCCCAGCTGACAAGGCCACCTGTGCTGGAAATCTCCATGCCCAGAGGCCCACCTGACTTCTGCCACTGCTGGAAACATCCAGAGAAAAGGGGCAAAAGTCCTGAGCAAAAACCCCTTCCCTTGCAGGGAGAGGGAGGGGAGGGGCAGCAGCTGAGAGAGAGTGTGGGTGGCGGGATGGGGCCAGAAAGGCAGAGCAGGCTGAAGACAGGGCAAGTGGGTCTGAAAGAAATGAGGCTGCAGAGAGGTGGAGGGCTGGGCGGGAAACACTTGCCCAGGGTCACGAAGCCACGTTTGTGGGTTTATCAAAGTGCCTGTCCTTACACTCTACCATTTTCATTGGCTCCAGAGGCAGCTGTGCCATGCACAACCCTACCCTTGGCCCCTGCACCCCATCTCTCCACCCAGGTGCTTACGGAAGCTTCAGTGCCGGCCACCCGACTGGGGACACACGCAGGAGGGGACTGTGCCTGCGCTCTGCTCGCCAGGTCAAGTGCACGGAAGACACTGCAGTCCCTCCTGAGGGACACGGGACTAGCCCGCCACTGTCCACAGCCTGACTGTTCACCAGCACACAGGTGGGTCTGGCTCCACGGTCCCCCCCACCCAGACCCCTTGGCACATGGAGGTCGGTCCTCAGGCTGCCCCAAGAACCATCTTTGAAAGTTAGCATGTCACCCCTGCCTGAAAACATTCCCGACTCCTCATTGTCTATAATCTCACACACACACACACACACACACACACACACACACACACACACACACTCCAGTTCTTTCTCTGGGCACAGAAATCTTTCAGAATCTTGTTCTAGACACCCTCCAGCATCATTTCAGTCTCTCTCCCCGAGTTCCTGACAAATTCCTATTTCCTCACTTCCCTGCAGATGCCTGCTCCTTTATTATTTTTTTAAATTATTTTTTAAATCCTCACCTGAGGATATGTTTATTGATTTTTTAGAGAGAGAGAGGAAGGGAGAGAGAGAAAAAACATTTATTGACTCCCTCCCATACATGCCACGACCAGGGATGGAACACACAACCTCCGTATGTGCCCTAACTGGGAATCAAACCTGCAAACTTTCAGTGTATGGGAAGACACTCCAACCAACTGAGCCACCCAGCCGGGGTGATGCCTGCTCCTTTATAACCTGAGCCTTCACACTTGCTGTCCCTCTGCCTAGAATGCTGTCCTCCAGCCTGACATTCTGCCCTGAAATTTTCAATTATTCCATTATCACCAAATGTAACTGCTTTGCAAAGTTTCCTTCAATTTCTTTGGGTGGTGTTAGCTGCTCTGCTCCAAGTCCCATACAAACATCATGAGGCCAGCATTGATCTGCTTCTCCCATCCCTGTGTTTGAGACCCAGGAGTCTGGGGCCAGCTTCACACTGTGGCTCCAACCTATTCTAAATGTGTGATGCTGAAGAAGTTACTTCAGACTCCGTTTTCAAATGAGTGGGAGGGGACCATATAGGTACCTATCTCAAGTGCTTGCTGTGAAGTTCCCATGGGATAATGTAGAGCAGCGGTCGCCAACTGGTGGTCCGTGGACCACTGGTGGCCCGTGAAGTCTGAAAGGTTGGTGACCGCTGATGTAGAGTGCTGGCCAGAATAGAAAGAATATAACAAGTGCTCAATAAATATGAGCTATTATTATTATTATCTTCGTATTTATTGTATGCATAGGAAGAGCCACAAATAATAATGCAGCGATAATTCATTGACATATTAATGACTCGTGGTCTCTGCCAATGGTATTCATCAGCATGTGACACATTATTAGCTCTACAGAGAGTCAAGCAAATAGTCTTTGTCCTATAAGACAGAACACATTATAGGTAGGTAAGTAGTAATCTGTGGAATAAGCCATAAACACACATCTAAAGTCAGAAAGCCCCTCTCCACTCCACGTGGGAGGCCTGGCCTCTACCTGCTCCTTCTTCACCTTGGTTTTCCCAGAGCACTGAGGCCAGGGACAGGCACGATTGCAGGGTGGTCAGGAGCACAGACGACAAAGCCTGCCTGTGCTCAACCCCCAGGTCTCCTGCGAACCAGCTGTGGCCGTGAACAAATCATTTCATTCTGTGCCTCAGTTTTGTTACCTGTAGAATGGGCGGATAATAGGACCTCGCCTGTAGCATTGTTAGGAAGATGAACTGATTCACATGAAGCACCTGGGGCATGTCTGGTGCCAGGCAACCTTTTCCAAAGTTAAACAGCTAAGTGATTTTTGAGATAGTGAAGGGAGAACTTGTTGGAACTTTCCATTCAATTTTGCTACATATTACCAGGTGAGGAGGAAATTGCACATGTCTGCTGATCATTCCAGAAAAAAATATCAGGAAAAGGGGAGATTTCAGGAGTTTCTTGAATGACGGGAAAGGTGATTAGATTAGTGCATGTAGGCGGAGGGGAGGTCCTCCCTAGGGATCCCCTGGGACCAGGATGGATAACAAGGAGGAAGAGGATAGTGGGGTCAGGAGATGAAAGGAACATCCCCCAGAGCTGACTGCGCGGAGGCACCTGGCGCACTGACAGTAGTGAGGGCTGGATTGGTCCCGAGTAGTGGCAGGGGAGCTGTGCTGGGGGCGGAGTCTGCCACCAGAGTGGGGGGCCGGGGGTTTGGCTACCTTCGTTCAGGTGTGAGTCCGTCATTGGGACTGGTGAGGGAAAATCTATCAGCATGAATTGCCTCCCATACGTGCCCTGACCGGGAATCGAACCCGCAACCTTTTGATGTACAAGACAATGCTCCAACCAACTGAGCATTCTGGATAGGCTTGAACAACTACTAAAAAAAAAATACTGTTATAGAAACTTTAGGAACATCCACAAAAGCTAAGGGTTCTAATAGCCCGACATTTCATTTATACTCTCCTTGCTTTCCCACCACCCCTCTGGGCTATTTGAAGCAAATCCCAAACATAGCA